CATTCCTTTACAACGTATGACTAAAGGAAGTTCAGATCCCAGAGCTCACAATGACCAGCCCAGGATTTAATCTGATAGGTGTTCTAGTTTGTTTCTCCATTGCTGTGACAAACACTCTGACCAATACCAACTTGGGGAGGAAAGGGTTTATTTGGCTCATATCTCTGGGTCACAGTTCATTGGGGAGCCCAAGGTAGGAAGTCAGGGCAGGAACCTGGAGGCAGGAGCTGGAGCACAGGCCACAGAGGAACACTGCTTACTGGCTTGCTCCCCTGGCCCGAGACAGGCAGATGTGCAAAGAAGACAAGGCCATATGAAGACAGAGATAGAAGGTGGAGGGAAGAAGAACCTACCAGCCAAGTAGTGCCAACTGGCAACACCGGAAGAAAGGTCTGGAACAGACTCTCCTTGAGGTAGGGCACTCCTGCCACCACCTTAATTTTGGACCTCAGGCGTCCAGAACTGTGAGAAGATACATTTCCCTTGTTTTGTCCAGCTCAATATGGGGAAGACTGCAAGAACAGCCCCAGGACATTTCCACACTTCCACCTTCCCCTGACTTCCAAGGCTCTTCTGCTGTGCTGCTTTCTTGCGCCAGGCCATTTGATTAAAGACAAATTCATGCTTTGTGGGTAGCATAACATCATATCTCTTTTTTTAAAAAAAATTTATTATTTTATGTGTATGCGTGTATTGCCTGCATGTAGGTAAGTGCATCCGTGTCATGCAATGCCTGTAGAGGACAGAAGAGGTCATCAGATTCCCCTGGAACTGGAGTTAACAGACAGTTGTTAGCTGCCGTGTATGCTGGGATTCGAACCCAGGTCTTCTTCAGGAACAGCCAGTGTTCTTAACCACTGAGCCATCTCTCCAGCCTCAATATCATATCTCTTAATGCCCAGCTGTTTTGATACAGAATTTGCTAGTGTAGACTCCCTTAGCCTTATGATTCATGAAGAACTTGCCCAGCAATAAAACAAGTGTAGTGTGTTGCTTGTCATTTTGCCTGTTGAGGAAGCGCAGGCTGGAGAGCTTTGCAGCCCTTTTGCTCTATTTTGGCTCTTGCCTTGGAAAACTGTCCTCTGGTACTGGCAAGTCTAAAAGGACAATAGGTGTATCAGAGAAGTAAAACACCATGAAGGGAGCCAGGCATGATAACATGCCCTTAATCCTAGCACTTGGGAGGCAAAGGCAGGCAGATCTCTGTGAGTTGAGTTCAAAGCCAGTCTGTTCTACATAGTTCCAGGCCAGGGGCTACATGGAGACCCTGTCTCAAAAAGAGCGAAAAAAAAAAAAAAAAAAAAAAAAAAAACAACCAAAAAACCCACAAACAAAACACCATGAAGTAGGTTGGAAAAATGGCTCTGCAGTTAAGAATGATTGCCGTTCTTCCAGAGGATCAGAGTTCAGTTCCTAGCACCCACTTTGGGAGACTCACAATCACTTGTAACTCTGGCTCCCGGGGATCTGATGCCCTCTTCTGGCCTCTGTGGCCACTGTACACATGCCTCCACACAGACACATACACACATACCCAGAAATAAAAATAACCAGGCATGGGGGTGCATGCCTTTAATCACTTTGAATCCAGACCATCTGGAGCTACATAGTGAGAACCTCTCTCAAAAAAAATCTCTTTTTATTCATGTGTATATGTGTCTGTGAGTATATGCCACATATGTGCAGGTGCCCTTGGAGCTGGAGTTACAGGTGGTTGTGAGCCTGGAAACTCAGGTCCTCTGGAAGAGCAGTAAGTGCTTTTAACCTTGGAGCCATCTCTCCAGCTTCTAAATATAAATCTTTAAAAAATGTTTATGATTTTTATTTTATGTGTATGAGTTTATTGCCTGCATGTGTGTAAATGCACCTGTGTTGTGCAATGCCCCCAGAGGTCAGAAGAGGGCGTTGGATGCCCTGGAACTGGAGTTACAGATGGTTGTTAGCCACCATGTGAGTGCTGGGAATCGAACCCTGGTCCTGTGCAAGAGCAGACGGTGCTCTTAACTGCCGAGCCATCTCTCCAGCCCTAAAAATAAATCATAAGAAGAAATGCCATGAAAAAAAGTAATGGCAGTCTGCAGAGCACTATGAAGGGGAGTCAGTGCTGTGACCACAGTACTCCTTTGGAAAGCCTGTCCACAGAACTATCTGTGAGGCTCCTCCTGGCCCAAAAGGGGTGCTTTGAAGGATGGATGTCCACGCACAGGCTTTCAGTGTGTGTGGGGGGGGGACTGGGGAGCATAGGAAAGAAGCACTAAGAGGAAGTGCATGTGTGAAATGATGGACTTTGCTTTTATATCTTTAGGGTAAAGAAGTTTGTGATCAGAACCCAGGTACACTGCTAACAGGAATGTAAAATGGTGCAGGTGTTGCAGAAAAACAGTCAGATGGTTCCTCAAAAAGTAAACAGGGATTGAGGTGGTAGCTCAGTTGGTGAAGTGCTTGCCTTGCAGGTACGAGGACCTGAGTTTATAATCTGAGTGCTGGAAAGGTAGAGACAGGAGAATCCGTGGGGCTTGGTAGCCAGCCAGATTAGCCTTATTGGAGAGCTTTGAGCTAGTGAGAGACCCTGTCTCAAAAAATAAGGTGGCCGAGCCTGAGGAACGATACTTGAGGTTTTCTTCTGGCACATACACACACATGCACACATGACTATGCATGTATGCACATATGTGAGTATGCATGTGCACACAAATTAAAAAAAGAGTTACCATGAGATCTAATAGTCTCATGGCTGGATACGTATTAATCCCCGTAGGTAAACAGGGTCTCAGAGCAATTTGTACCCTAGGTTCATAGCAGCGTCATTCACATACTTTAAAGGTAGGAGCAGCCCAAGCATTGGTGACTGTGTGACTTGTATGTTTATATAGGCAATGGAATAGTTCCTAGTCTTAAAAAGGAAAGCAAATTTGGTTACCTGCTACAGTATGGATGACCCTTCAGGACATTATGCACAGTGGAATGAACCAGTCATACACACACACACACACACACACACACACACACACACACACACGAAAACCCAAAGAGGCTGCAAATGTCCTGGGTCCTTCTGTGGCTGAATTTTCATGATTACCTCATTGTCCCATCCAAAAACAGTAGTGTAGACATTTGCAGCTGGCCCTTCCAGGTCAAGCCAGTCATTGGGAACTCCATGGGTGGGATACCTCTCTCCCACAGTCAGGCCAGTGCTTCTGCCTAGCATAGAACTCAGCAGGGCAGCAGTCCACAGGGGAGGCTGTGCCTTCAGCTTCTCCTGCACAGCTCAGTTTGCTTTCATATGAGAAGTCACCAAATAATAAATTACACACATGACCAAGACCAGGATTGTAGGAGCTTTTCATTTTTTTATACACAGAAATTTTGGTCTATTCTTTAAATTAGGAAATTTCAACTACAGACTTTAAATTATTATGCATCTGTGGTCTTCCTTATTAAGATATTTTGTTCATCTTTATAACAGGCAGATAAAAATGTAAAACATATTTATGAACTGAACACAGTTGACCAAGCCATTCCGTATAATATAATGCTTTATAAAGAGAAGCTTCCGATGAGACAGGTCCCTCGGCCTGAAGACTGTACATGAACTAGAACAGATGATGTGAGTTCCCAGGGCCTTTTCTGAACCCCCACAGCTCAGCACAAAGGCAGCCTGGGTACCACACAGTCGACATTGACATCAGGCAACTTTACACAGCAGCAGTGAGGGTTGGCTTTTTAATATATAGTGGCCATTTGCTCTATCGATGTGTCCAAAACAGAGGATGACAAGAAGCTCATGAGCGGAGCCCAATGCAGCTGACCCGCCTCAACTGCAGCACTGCGCCTTTGCTTCCTTGTTGAGGGACACCAAGACCCTCAGCTGAGTTGCCCTTTTGTTGTTGCGGTTTAAACAAGGACATCAGAGAACAAGTTACAAATGGGAAACATTCTCAATGTGCCCTTTAGAAAAAAGGGATGGCTTTAAGTGATCTGTAGCTGGCATTTTAAAGTGGAGTTTTTCTTCTAACCAAAATTCTTTTGCCCAAGATGTGACTACTCCTGCTCAGGGGTGACATGGCATTGATGTGACCTGTGGACACAGAGCACGTTTCCATTTGGTTTTGTATGGATACCAGGGAACCGAGACAAGCCTGCTGCTGGGATGGCATGGGATGGGGGCGGGACAGACACAGCTCTTGAGGGTGCCTGTCCTCACCGTCCATCTCTCAGCTCCCAGCTGTCTTCTGGCAGCCAAACCTCAGGCCCAAGTGACCAGTATGTGTGGGAGTGGCAGGAGACCCCAGACACCTCCCTACAAAGCGTGACACCCAGCATAAGTTCAGAAGGTAAAGGAACCTCAAGGGCAGAGTGCTGCCCACTTCACAGGTGTCATGTGGGTGTCCAGACTCAGGACCTAGGGGCACAAGGGAGGACTTGCCCCCTACTGGAAGAGACTCATCTGCCTGGGCTTCCCACATAGGGCAGCAGACATTGGGCCCCTTTTCCCTCTGCCTTTTCCTCTCAGGGTATTGCTCTTTCTGGGAAAGCGGGCTTGGCACACTGAGTGCCCATACTGCTGGGAGAAGCTCTTGGGGGAATCGACTCAGGAGCACCAGACCTAGCTCTCCTAGCCTCGCCTGGTGGGGTGGGCTCTGCTCAGCCCTAACAGAAGAGCCACCAGTGAGAAAAAAAGCAAAGGCTGACAGTGATAACATGCCATTTCTCCAGGAGTCTTTGCTTCTTTGCCATTGCCTTCGGGGTTCTATTTGTTCTGTGGGCAAGAAGATCTAGGTTGGAAGCATGCTTTGGTGGGTGACATGCTCATGCCCTATCAGACATCGAGGGGGTCCAATGAGCACTTGGTCATTTGCCAAAGCACAAAGTGAGAGTCTAGAGGAACAACAGGGATGAGCCTGGACGTCCCTGCAGTCAGTCTCTTGGCTTTGATGACCTCTTTTCCTAGGTGGCTTCTGTAGGGCTCATGCCTGGCATCCGTCTCTTCTCTATCACAGCTGTTCCTAGGAGTCTTCCTGCTTTCAAAGTTGGGGTGTGGACAAAGAAAGCCACCAGCCAGAGTGAAGGAGTTGGAATTGAAGTGGAAAGAAGCCGAAAACAAAATTTGCCTTGCTGCCTACTGGAGTGGACCACTGTCATCAATACTTTGGTATTTTCCTTTTAAATAAAAAAATGCCATTGAAAGGTCTTTCACCTCTACAGGCAGAGGTCTCAAAGTGCAAATGTTCGGAGCGTGAGACCTGCAGGCCTCGTGCAGCACTCCCCAGACCACCTCCTCTGGAATCTCAGCAGAACCAGGCAGAGGAGCCTTGGGGTCAGGGACTTGGGGAGGGAAGTGCAGTAACTCAGCGATGTTCTTGCAATCTTGTTTCCTGAAAAGAAACTTGCTACATTCAAAAATGAAACTTCAAAAGGAAAACACCTGGTAAGAGGAATGGAAATATCATGCCAATAAATAGTTCCTTATTTTTAAAATATTCATCTTGCCATATATGTATGTATATGCGTATAGACACACACATACATATAGTTGCACGCACACACACGTGGGCTGCAGATGGGTCCCGCGTGCTCCGATGAGTGGCTCTGGGATGGAAGGTACCTTTGCAGGTGGCGACCTCCGGTGGCCTGCCTGGATAATGGCCTCCTTCCTGGTTTTGGTATGCAAGTTTTGATCTGAATGCTCTAGAGGCAGCAAAGCTCCAAATAGACCCAACTAGCCCCCACCCCTCTGCACAGCACAAATGGTGAACACACAGTGGACTAGTGTTTGTTAAAAAAGAAGCATCAGTTAAAAAAAGGTGGGAAGCACAGCTCTTCTCATGCTTTCTTCTCCTTCACAATGAGTGAAGAGCCTCCCTCTTCCCCCTTCGTTCTTCTTTCCCCCTCCTCCTGGGTCCTGGGTGAGAAGCCTGGTGAGCTGTGCCCTTATTGAATGCATTTGACTTCTTGCAAATACCATATAAGAAAAGTCTTCAGCGCCTTAGTCGTTTCCCTCTTTGGAGGGTGCATGGGTTCCTCTGTGTGTGTGTGTGTGTGTGTGTGTGTGTGTACACGAGTGTGACTCCATGTGAGTCCAAGTGCATGCACGCACATGTGTGTGTGTGTGTGTGTGTACACGAGTGTGACTCCATGTGAGTCCAAGTGCATGCACGCGCATGTGTGTGTGTGTGTGTGTGTACACGAGTGTGACTCCATGTGAGTCCAAGTGCATGCACGCGCATGTGTGTGTGTGTGTGTGTGTACACGAGTGTGACTCCATGTGAGTCCAAGTGCATGCACGCGCATGTGTGTGTGTGTGTGTGTGTACACGAGTGTGACTCCATGTGAGTCCAAGTGCATGCACGCGCATGTGTGTGTGTGTGTGTGTGTACACGAGTGTGACTCCATGTGAGTCCAAGTGCATGCACGCACGTGTGTGTGTGTGTGTGTGTGTGTGTGTGTGTGTGTGTGCTGAAAGTAGTTCAGGTTAGAGGGATGTCTCCACACTGTGGAGTGGGCTCCCAGGCCTGGAAGAGAACGCTGAAGAGGTAGCTGACTTGGTGGCATGCGTGGTCAGGTAGATGCCACTGTCTATGGCATTGTTGTTCTGATTAGGGGGTGGGGGTGGTGGGGCCCTCAGGCGCTCCTCATTCTCATCCACATCCGTGTCATCGATGAGCGGGATGTTGTGGGTGTAGTCATTGATCAGAAACTCGGGCGTTGCCATGAAGTTATGGATGCAGCTCTTGGATTCCGGTTTCTCCAGGCCTTCATAAAGTGAGCTACGGAATGCTTTCACCACCCGGATCTGGAGTGAAGGGGAGAGGGACAGGGCCCACATGGGAGAAGGGAAGAGAAAAGAGAGTAGAGGATGGGACAGGAGAGGAAAGGGGAGGAATCACAGGAGGAGAGGAGAGGGCAAGAGAGACAGGGGGAGAAGAGAAAGGAGGGGAGGAGAGGGGAGTTGGGGATGAGAGGAAAGGACAGAAGAGGGGAGGGGAGGAGAGAAGGGGGAAGAGAAGAAAGGGGAGGGGAGATGGAAGGGGAGGAGAGGAGAGGGGGTGAGATGAGAGGTGGGGAGAGCAGACAGTTAATGGCTACCTGGTGCTGGCAAGTTGTGCCCACATCAATGGCTGGCACATCGCATGATGAATGTTCACACATTGGGGGGCTGAAAGGGAATGGCGTGGCTCTGCTGGGTTATGGTAAGGGTTTCCAGGTCTTAGTCTTGGTCTTGAAAACATGACTGACCTGGGTGCCTGCTACTTTCCTGGTTCTTGACCTGGGAACAGGACTGGCTTAGGTGGTACCTGAGGTCTTCACTTAGTTTGAATTCCAATTTGGTAGAAAACAAATATATGTAGCTTCTCCAGGGACCTTGCCAGTGGTCACTTCTGCATCTGCATCTTAGTCCTTTACTCAGGGGCTCTGCACACAGCTGAACTCCCATTTCTGGAAACTTCTCAAGGCTCTCTGACATTGTTGCTCCTGCCTGGCCCTCTTGTACATTACCAGGTGTCCTGTTCTCACCTCCTTTACTGTTCCCTTCTTTGTCCTGGGATGTCCCAGAGGTCTGGCCTGTCCCTGTCACTCTATCGTTGTTCACATCTCCCCACAGTGGTGAGGCCTATCTAGGGATTGTGGCCCAGACCCTTCCTCAGAGCTCTGGGCCTAAGAGCCCCCCTGGTTCTCACCTGGAGGCCAAGACTGAAAATGGCTACACTTGGATTTGCACACACCAAGCCTGCTTAGCTGCACTGGTCATCCCTGTGCTCTCCTTACAACCATGGACCATAGCTACATGTGACTGATTGGGTCTGATTAAATACTTGGGGTCCTTAACAGCCCTTTGATACCTGTCCTGGTCTCTCTCCCCCTTACCACCACCCTCCTCCTTTTATTCCTCCTCCTTCTCCTCTTCTTCCTTCTTGAGCTTCCACTGAGACACTCCTATGCTTTGTCATATTCCATACATTCCTTGTCCATTCCATTCTTGTTTTCACTCACATCATCATAACTTTGTGCAAGGAAGAATTTGTCGCTGTACCCAGAGCCCCCACTGCGACCATCTGCCTAGAGCCAAGCTCACAGCCTTTCTAACCACTTGTACCTCCTGTGGGGCAGTGCTCCAGAACTTGCCTGAGAATCAGCCTGTCCCCTCCTCTGGCTTTTCCACCTTTCCTGACACACAGGCCCAATCTTACCAGCTTTACAAGCCACAGAGTAGCTGCCCTTCTGATTGGTTGGTGCCCTCATGCTGGGCTCCTTCCTGCTTCTAAAAGTGAGAAGCCAACGAGTAGGTGCTTGCAAGATCTCATCCAGGCCAGTGTCAGCATAGCTACCCATATCAACTGGTCCTACTGTAAACATAAAGCCAGCCCTGGATGACCTCCATGTAGAGGGTTGTGGAAAGAGTGCTAGCCCACCAGGAGGCGGCCTGGGTCCTCCAGCAGCAATTAGCCCTTCCCCATGTGAGGCAGTGAGCACATTATGGGTTCTAAGTCATTTCTAGGTCAAAGGAGCTATGATTTGATTTTCTTAGCTTAGATAAGGTATCTGAAAACTCTGACCAGGTGAACCCTGGCCCTCTGCTGGTTTTGTAAATAAAGTTTTATTGGCAGGTTGCCATGCCCATTCATCTATGAACTTGTCCACGGCTGCTTTCAAGCTGCAAGGAGCAGGGTTGTGTACTTGTGACAGAGACCTGGCCCGAAAAACTAAATATGTTTACTCACTGGCCCTTTATAGGAACAGTTGACCATGAATTACCTGGACTACAATGAGGCCCTTTCACAGCCTGTGCAGTTCAAAGAAGTAAGCCAAAAAAGCTGGAGAAAATTGGAGTTTTCTAAATGTACATCTAAAATCCAGTTATGATTTTCCCTGGACTTAAGGCCACATATGCAGAGTGCAGATGGCTAGCTGTTCCTCAGCCACTCTTACAGACTGTTCACTTAAATTGGGTTAACACAGAAATTGAAACTTATCAACATTTTTAATGAGAAGACAAGAATTCACTTTTTTTTGTAGCCAATTCTGTGTTTGCTTCATTAGTTAGGCTTTCTAGGGAAAGACTGGACTGCTGATGCTGGGGGACATCACTTAGTCCAGCTGTCCACCACACCCATCATGCCACAGAAAAGAGAATGACTGCTGGCTGTACAGCATTGCTCTTGACCCTAGGGATGTGTTATGTCCCTGTGATTTTCTTGGTGAGCCGGCATCCTCAGTTGGACCTGGGTCACATGATCAGACCAACCCTCTCAAACCTATCCAAAGGTTTCATTGTACCTGATTTGACTCCAAATTCCTTCCCTGCAGAAGCGCGTCAAGGCCACATGGTAGCCCTCATACACTGTTGCTCCGGCTCCACTAGCCTGTCCCTGGTGCTCCTCTCTTCTGCCAGAAGCAGACACAGAGTGCCCAGTCTACCAACACCTGGGGACCACATGTGTGCCTCTGGTTGAGAGGGCCACCCACGCTAGTGTTCTGAGTCATCGTGAGGGTAGCGGCTGACATCGAGTCAACTTTTGTTCAGCTTCTTTCTTCCCTTCATTCAAATGTGTGACTAGTACAAAGCAGTTTGGTGTTGGTCTTAAGACTGGGGTGTTTCCAGCTACCTGAAGGCTGAAGAGCACAGGCACCTCTGGGGAGACTAGTTAGGTGGAAAGCATCAACATTTGTTAAGAATGGCTCATTCTGGATGATGGAGCTCATGCCAGGTGCCTGTGAGCATCTCCGTGACCCCGGGATTCCTTCTGCCAGACCTGGGGTTGGTATTCCCAGCTAAGCTGGAGCCAAGGCTGAGTGGAGCCCATGCTACGTCCCAGCCCACAGCATGCCTCGGCCTCACCTTGGTTTCCTGCCTGACTTTCTCACTGTGCCCCAGCCCAGTGTTTCTCCCTCAAGGCCAATCAGCCCACTTAGACACTGTCAATGCCATCAGCACCATATCCAGTCAGGACCCTTTTCCACATCTCACCCCCACTACCCCAAGTGCTTCAGTTGGAGGTCCACTGTACTTCTATCTTTCTGCCCTCTTGGGTCCAGGGTTCTGGCCAGAGTTCAGAGGCACCTCACCATCCCCTGCCCACTCACCCTTTGTCCAGCTGGTCTAACTCCAAAACATCTCACCAGAGTCCCTCCCCATCTCTACTGCAGAGGCCATGTCCTGCCTGGGGGTTGATGACCTTGTCTGCCTGGGGCCTCCATCCTGCCTCTGTGCTTGACACACAGATCTTGACTAAGGGTCTGATGACCCTATGGTGCCCTACAGCATCCCTTGTTCAGATGATGTTTTCAGGCTCTTTCTGATTACTGAGTCAGACCCCCTCTTTTCCCTGCTTGATTACAAATAGTCTTGCAAGTGATGAAACTGGCCTGGATGCTGACTGGGGATGGAAAGTAATTGAACTCTACCCCACAGCCTATTTCCTGTAAGATAAAAGGTTGGTTGGTTTGTTTTGAGACAGGGTCTCAGTATACAGACCAGGTT